TCCGGCAGGGCTGGGGTCAGGGCGCCCCAGGAGGTGGCTCTAAGGGTTACAGCAGACCCCTCGGGCAATGGGGAAGACTGATCGGGGTGGAGTGGACCCCATGGGGCAGCAAAGGGAGGTGGATCCTGGGGGACCCCAAGTCTGGAGAAGGATCCCGTGGGGTCAGCGTTCACTGGGGAGGGAGCCGAGTGGGCCCCGGGCTCTCAGATCAGGCTACGTGAAAGCTGGATGGGTGGACTCACAAAACCCTCCTGGACCTCTTGTGCACCCCCCCCCCAACTAACCCTCCCAGCTCATGGCTTCTAGCCCTTTCCTCCGCGCAGCCCCCCCAGGTTCTCCCGCTCTCCTGACACGTGGTGCCGAGCTGGACCCGGCACTCCCGCGGAGGGGCAGAGTGACAGTGCCCCGTCCGTGCCCCCGGAAGGTCGGGGGGCTGCCCAGCAGAGCGAGCCGATCCCTGATGGAGTAGCCCGTCGGAGAGCCCAGCCCAATGAAGACAGAAGGGCCAGGGCATCCAGATCCCACAGGGTGGCTCTCAATGCGGAGGCAGAGCGTCACTAGGAGCTGAGGGTAGAAGCCACTGGCCAGGGACATAATCGGGTCTTCAGCCAACGGGGCAGGAGATCCAGGGGAGTCAATAGGCTGGGGGCAGGGGAACTCCTGGGCTAAGGGGTCCCACTGGATCACAGCCCAAGGTGGTGGAAGGAGCAGGGGGACCCAGTGGACGCAGGCATGGGCATGATGGATCCCCGATCTATGGGGTGGAAATTTGTGGGTCCCAGTGGGCACAGATCCATAGATCTGGGATCCACTGTGCCCATGGGGACTATGGGGACAGAATTTGTGGGTCCCAGGAAACACAGATCCCATAGTCTCAATGGGGGGACCCCACAAGCACAGTGGATCCCAGATCTATGGGGCAGAGATCTGTGGGTCCCAGTGGGTGGATCCCACAAGCACAGTGGATCCCAGATCTATGGGGCAGAGATCTGTGGGTCCCAGTGGGCACAGCCCCTATGGTCCCAATGGGTGGACCCCACAGGTGCAGTGGATCCCAGATCTATGGGGCGGGAGATTATGGGGGGACCCCACAAGCACAGTGGATCCCAGATCTATGGGGCAGAGATCTGTGGGTCCCAGTGGGTGGATCCCACAAGCACAGTGGATCCCAGATCTATGGGGCAGAGATCTGTGGGTCCCAGTGGGCACAGCCCCTATGGTCCCAATGGGTGGACCCCACAGGTGCAGTGGATCCCAGATCTATGGGGCGGGAGATTTGTGGGTCCCAGTGGGTGGATCCCACAAGCACAGTGGATCCCAGATCTATGGGGCAGAGATCTGTGGGTCCCAGTGGGCACAGCCCCTATGGACAGTGGATCCCAGATCTATGGGGCAGGAGATTTGTGGGTCCCAGTGGGTGGATCCCACAAGCACAGTGGATCCCAGATCTATGGGGCAGAGATCTGTGGGTCCCAGTGGGTGGATCC